TTTTTTTTTCCCTGACTGCTATTAAGAGTGAAGGACAGTGGCAAAGAACAAGCAATAGAGTCTTACTTTGCAGAGATGAGGGTTTACTTAAAATCACCAACTTACCATCATCATCAACATCATCAGCATCTTCTTCCTCTTCTTCCTCGTCTTCATCATCATCATCATCGTCCTCTTCCTCAGATTCAGATGGTTTGGGTACCTCCTTTTTCGGTGGGGCTTTTTTACTCTGTGTTTTAGGTTTTGAAGGCTGGGCCACTTCTTTGCCTGCATTCTGTGAGAGAAACATAAGAGTATGCCAAGGTTTTTTTTGTTTCCTTGTTTTTGCAATGATAAACATGTGTACATTGTATTGTTGCAGCCCTAATAGGCTAGAGGTGGGGAAGAAGGTCATGTCTGATAGCCCGGGGCTTGTGAATTTTGCATTATTTTGGGCTAGTGAATTCTGTTCTTAACTTGCCCAATCGGCAAGTGAAATTTTTGGGGGTGGAATTCAAAATATGGAAATACTGTTTAAAGACAAATATTATAGGTTAAATTTCTAATAAAATTAATTCAAATGGATCAAAAGCTCTTTTTCAAGTTGATCTGACAAAGTGAAATTGATATCTTTGTTAATAACATGAATTAGTAAAGCAGCTACTGCTATATTAACTGATGTCATTAATAAATAAGTAATCATAAATTAACTCTTAATACTGAACTTAAAAAAAAAATCTTTTTTGGGTTAGTTGAAATGACTCTCGGCTAGCTACAGCTTGCCAAAGTTAATGGACAAGCTTTAAAACTGACTTTCTTTGCACCGTGGAAAGAGTTTTTGTTCATAAAATTGTGCTACACCTTACTTTTATGAATGAAGAATATTTAAGTGTCTTTGATTAAACTAACCTTCTTTTTCCATTCTTCCATTGCAGCCTCATGCTTCTTTTTCGCTTCTGCCTCTAACTTTTTGTACTTCTCCTTATCCTTGTCGCTCATGCTTCGCCATTTTTCACCGGCAAGGGCTGGAATTTTTTGGTCACCATCTGTACTCTTACCTTTCATTTGCTCTCGGAATTCAGCCAGGAAGATGAAGTAGGCAGTGGGAGCACGCTTTGGCTTGTCTGATTCTTTCTTGGCTAGCTTTCCACTCTGCACAGACAGAGAAAAACATAGACAGAGAAAAAATAGTTACTTCAGGATTAAGGGCTGTAACTAGGACAACTTTAGCTGAGGAAACTGTCTTTATGGTAAAAGTTTTGACTTTTCATCTTTTACATGCCTTAGGAATAAAAATTTGCTAGAGGCTTTTCATTAAAACACAGAATTACACAAAAAGAGAGCCTTCGTTCTCTTGCTTTTTTTGGATTGTCTCACAGCTGGCCATCCATCTTGCCATGGCCCTGGCATGGGTAGTTTGTATCAGTAACAACAACTATAGTTTGGCAAGGTCTTCATCCTCACAGGAAGAAGCAAGATCTGTCATCACCGAAGGAGCAAATTGGGTTCTGGTGATTTCCCCCCCTCCCCCCCCCTCAAAAAAAAAATTGAAATCTAGGAGCTCTGAGATGCTATTTTAAGGTATGGCTTCAAAAATATCAATCTTCTTCAACTGGGACTGGTTTTTCCAATTAAAATTGCAATGTTAAAATCTACACAAGGCAAGTACCTTGCCTCTTGCTAGTAATGGCCTGGTGTTGAAGCCACTTTGACGCGAAAATGGGAACAGAATGATGAAAAACTTAACATATCTGGTAAATTCTTACATATTAATTCTGGACTAAATCTCAAAGACAAATCTATAGCTAACAAACCTTTTTTTTTGTCACAATTAAAGTAATACAGTGCTGCAAGTTCATTTTCTTCAAAAAAGTCAAAAATATAAAATGGTGGCCAGAAAAAAATTTTTTTTTTCAAACTTTGTGCAAACATAACATCAAGGGTTTGAAATAACCAAAACGGCTGCGCATACCAACTGCTGCCATCAAATTTGAAGCTTCATACAATACATCAAGTCTGTAAAATGGCCATGTGACGAACATGATCAGATTATAAAGAAAATAACATTTCACAATTTTTTTTTTTTACCTCATTTTGTAACCAAACATTCAATAGCTCTCTTGAAAGTCTACCAGAACTGATTAATTTCAAAGATCTAAAATGATATGTGAACCTGAGGAGGCACTTGGACAAATTTATCCTCTAAAACTAACACAATTTGTTTATTTTCCTGGCAATAATTTTCCAGTAAGAAAAATGAAAGTGATTTCAAATACAATTCAAAGTTGAAGAATATGCAAAAAATGCAAGAATTTTCAGCATTTGAAGATATTTGGGAAAAATAAAAGTTTTCATTACAAAGGCATTTCTTGCTCTTTGAAAGTTAATTGGAAAAAGTTCTGAAATAGGAATTAACTAATTTTTCAGTAACAAAAAGATATTTGTCTCGTGAAAGGAAAAAACTATCACGTGACACAACAGTTGAGCTTAGCACGGACGAGGATGTGGCGGCCATGTTGGAGTCCCGAAAGATGAGTAATTTAACTCCGTGTCCTCGCCTTGTTTTGTTGAAAATCGTTCCTTACCTCTTTCAAGTAGCGCTCTTTATCCGCCTGAGCCTTTAAATCGTAAGGCTTTTTCTCCTCGGCTGTAAGTTTTTTCCACTGCTCGCCCGCCATCTTCGCAACTTCGTTTGCCTTAGGTAGAGGGTCGCCATTCTTCTCGCATTTCTCTTTCAGCGTTTTTCGGAAATCCGTCGTAAAGTGAATGTACGCCGAGGAAGCTCTTTTCACCTGAGGTCCATCGCCTTTGGACTTTTTTCTGCTTTTCTTTACATCCTTCGTAATCTTAGGTTTCTTTGGCGACTTGGACTTCTGTACTTCAGCGGCCCGCTTCTTAGACTTGGTTCCTTCGTGAAAACAAGAACAACATCATGTCCACGAAGCTTCGATGCCAAAACGACATCAACTACATCATTTACGAGGAAATTTGAGCTCTTCGTTGCGATATTTTGGCCAAAAAAATAGAAATTCTCACTTGGTCCGAGCGATGGTGATTCCCTCAGGCATAATTTATATTCCTCTGTGATTTCCTACGAGTTCGTTCGATTGAAGAAAGCTCGAGCAAACGGCGTCGAAATAACTCGCAGCAGACATTTTTTGTCGTTTACTACACGTAACAAGATTTAAATGACAATTCTAGAGCATTTTTGAGTGAAAATTGTCCGTAGAACCGAAAAATTTTGCGAGTTGACTTCGGTGGTTCACACTTCCATACGTCCTATGGCCTTCATAAGGCCTCGTATGAGGCTAGTAAGAAATATAAGACTACAAGGGGAGAACAATTCATGGAGTCGCTCATAAGAGTTTGACTGAGATTTGGAAACAAAAGTACCGTATTGCATTGAGATTTCTGAATTACCTTCCATTTCTCCGGATCTGCGCTTTTCAGCAATTGCCTAGCTCAGATGTGTAATCTCGTCTAATTTGCTCCGCTGTAAAGCTAGATCGGCTAAGGTCTTTTTCTCAAGCTAAAGGTTCTCTCAGTATAAGAGCACAAGGGAAGAGACGCTTTGTAAGAGGCAAGACAAACACGATGCAGTGAACGAGACGCGACACTACTGCGCGTGCGCGAGCGATGTAAATTGCACGGGAATGCACGGTCATTGGTCAGCTTCTTGTCTATCAAACAGTTTTTTTTTATTTCCTAAGCTGTTTTTGTTCGGAAAAATTTATTCCAACCGGCATTCCCGCCATTTCATCATGCTTTTATTCATTATTCTCTTTGCTTTGTTATGTTAGAAAGCAAACCACTCCATTCACCATCTTATACATTTGGTTTTTCACGCAACCCAAACGATGGTATTATAAGGGCGCAGGCCGATACTATTCAAGGGACATTTTTTATTTAGAAGAACATTTTGGGCCTTCTGTAATGAGTTTCGTCAAGAGAGAATGGTTTCGTGTTTTCTTTCTTTACCTCCTTCAAGAGGAGGGTCACAAATTTCTCTCCATCTGTTTCTCTAAAACCTAGAATCATGGCTTAATTTCAAATGAACCTATACCCTGCGGAAGATCGAAGGGCCTATGCTCGTAGGGTAAAATAAACTCGATAACCCGGATCCCGAACGGCCAACTTGGCACCCTCGAACAAGAAGTATGCAAAAAATAAAGACGGGCAAACAGGACTGTTAACCCCCCACGTCATCAAGTATTGAGAATTGATAGGGAAGAAATGATAAATGACGTCAAATCACACGTCAAATGACGTCATTTGTGCTAAAAATGCTCGTTGATTCCGATCGCCGCATATAGCACATAAACAGTTCATACTTAGCCACATTATTGCTTAAACTACAGTGGCATACCGGAATTTATGGGGAAACGTTCCCACAGTAGCTCAAACAACGCAAAATGTTTGAAATTTTGTGGTCGGAAAGTCGTGTCTACAAGAAATAGCAATTTTGACGATTATCCGGGAGATATCAGACTCTAATCTGGAGACCGGGGGATACGGTCAAAAATCTGGAGTCTCCCGGATTAACCGGGAGAGTTAGAAATAGCACAGAAATACTCTTATTTAAGTCGGAAAGATGTGATTACGCGCGCGTGGAACCTCGCGCGGGTGGCACGTGCAGAAAGGGTTGCCTTGCGTTTCTGAGAGAAGCGAAAGGGGGAGACAGTTTCGCCTTTTAAGATTTCCTCTTCCCTTACCCCTAATCTTGCTTGCTAAGAAAACATGGAGAAACGGTAAGAGGTTCTGATTTTTTATCGATACTATTGACCCCTAAATAGCGAACACTAAAATTCCAACTCAAACCCTTATAATATTTTTGTCATTCAACAACGATATCTCCCTCGTGAGAATTGGGTTCCCGTGTTGTACGGACGAACGTGTGCATGAACCCAGTTCCCAGCAGCGCATTATGCACATAGAGCACGGCAAAAGAACAAAATACGTGAAAAAAGCAACAATGATAGCACGACCATGGGATTTTGAGGTTGTCTTTTGGCAGGGGAGTTCCAACTTTCAGCTGAAGTTATTTTACTCAGTTTGGAAGGTTCATGATCAATTAATTCTATAACAACCCTGAAGGCATACAAATTGTCACGTTTACGTAAAGGAACAATTTCCAAAGATCCACCGACGGAACTGACCTAGCCAAACAACGGGAGTCGCGCTTTTTTTAAAGGTAACATCAGGGTGTATATTCTGATTACACACTCATAAGAGCAAGGAAAGACTCTCGCTCGCAAGACATAATCTCCAGTACGCAAATTCTTATCCAAAGGGATACAGGGAAGGGGAATGGGGTCATCAACTTCATGAACCCCCTCTGCTGGCTACACCCCTACCTCACGAGAGCTCACGTCGCGTAATTTATGCCGGATGTTTTCGTTTTCTTCATAAGGAAATTTGCTGTAAGAGACAATGGTTCAATTCAATTCAATTCAATTCTTTATTTCACACTATATAAGATATTTACATAAGTGTACGTAGGTAGGAAAATAAAGTAGCTGACAAATAATAATTAACTAAAAGAAATTAAGTTCATTTGTGTTAAGTGTCCAAAGTAGCAAGAGCTTTCTTGTTGGACACCTTCATGTTGAAATAATTGGCAGCAGTAAAGAGAGGAATAAAATCTCAGATAATATCAGTGATAGAACATAAAAGCAAGGTCAGATTTGGTTGGTTAGAAGACAATGGAAAATATTTCTTCTCATTCTTAAATTGCCGTCCATGTATATGACGTAAAATAGGTCTTATGCTACATTTCTGAAGTCGAACCGTCTGCACATGATAATCGGTTATAGGCTGTAGATAGTTAGGCTATACAGGAGACTTATCCTTTGGTTAAAAGGAGCTTGGCAGGAGGAAGGGGTGATGTTATCTGGAATTTTAGGGATTTAAATCTGTCAAGAAATCTCTTCTGGTCCCAGTTAGCTCAAACGTCGGATAGCGCTATCCACCGGATATTATTAAATCACTATCCAGCGGGTAACTGTATTAGAAAAAATAAATGTGCCATCCAGTGGGATATCTGTCCAGTGGATATCGTTACCCAGCTTTAATTTTGAACAACTGAGGCGAGTGTTCCCTGTCGTATATAGAGGATATTACACGGTGGCGTGAAGATATGAATTTTATGTTCGAGTGGCAAGAACAATATCTCACGAGTGAGCGAGGTTCTTTTTATTATATGGAGAAACCAATTCAACAAAGGCAAAAGGCGGAAATCGTGACGTCATTGAACGATACGACACTCACAAAGGTGACATACGGAAAATACGCCACTCGGGTCCCGGATGAAGTGGCGTATGGAATCTACGAGTGGTTTAGTTCCCAGTAAAACACTCTCCT